GTTCGCATGCTGAGGCCGGCCCCATCGGGAATGGCTTCGTCTGCCTCTGAACCTGCTGGCTGGGGATTGGCGGCAGCAGGCAGAGTCCTTATCGCTTAGCACATGCCAAGACTTTTGCGTCTCGGGTCCGTTGACAGGCCTGGCCCTCGGTGCGCACGTGGGCTTGGCAGCAGCCTGGCGTTCTAGAGCTTCCACAGCAGCCCGGGCTGCAAAAGATGCCCCCGTCCGGACCTCAGGAAAGTGGGCGAGCATCCAGCCTTAAGCACCTTCTCGCCTGTTTCCGACAGTTCAGCCTTAGGCCACCAAGTACGTCGAAACCGTCGCCGACGAGAGGCTGTTCGAGCAGGCCGGGTCCAGGTCGCTCTGAAAGACTGTGCCATGAAGCGCTCCGATGTCTGAGGTCTACCTGCAGTACACATCGGAGTACCTGAAGGGCCCGCTGTACTGGCACCCCGACAAACTGCAACTCGATTGCACTCCGCCTATTGTAGCGCCACGCCTCCGGCGTCCTCGCTTCAAGGCAGGGCTGGCTGCCCGACTACCCCGGCACGCCAATGATCAAGGAGGGCAAGTACACCTCCCACGTCATCGGAAACCTGAAGGCTGGGAGACCTGCTCTTCAAGGTGCTGCGTGATCCGACTCCGCGTGAGGCTTTCAGCTCCAACGAGCTCGCATTCTTGTCGATGCTTTTCTTTGGAGTTGGCCTCTACGGCAATCTGCAGTTCCTGGGCCAGAGAGCGTCGGAACCAGCAGAGTTTTTGCCACTGACCGGGTATACATGCGAGATGTAGGTTTATCTTTCTGCTTGAGTGTATCCTATAGGGAGTCTGAAGCGCTGAACTGCAGTTTAGCTCTCCAAAAACCTGGGACTGCGAGTCTTGAGTTCGACTTTCGGCAAGCTCCGGGGTGCAAGGCCTTGGACCAACTCTCATGAACGTGCCGTTGCACCTTGAAACTTTTGTCACCAGGTAGGTTCGTATCCCTTGCATTATATGGTGGAAAGCTTCTTGTGCAGATCTTCAACCATGCTTGAGCCCAGGTTCAACTTCTACGATCCCCAGTGGGCCAAGGTTGATGCTGGTGGCTTCTTCAACGTCTCCTACATCGTGGAGTCCTTCTTGCTCCCGATCTCCTTCTTCATGCACATTGCCTGCTACATCCAGAGACAGAATGGCAAGTGA